ACGTTCTTTCGGAAAGTAGCAAGTGTGTCTAAATCCACAATGATACAAACACTCATATTACCGCAATAAATTTTCCTGACAGCCATTTGAGTGCAAATTTAACAGAAAGAAACCCTGTTTAAATAGGAACTAGGGGGAAAATCTGGAACCACCCAGTGGTAAATAAAAGTGAATAAATAGAGTTAGTTCTTATTCCATAAAGTTAATGACAGAAGGCATTTTTTTACGACCATTATTTAGCTCCAGAGGCCCCTTTAGTTAATTTTTCCAGTTATAAATGCATTGATATGGTCAAGACAGTGAAACATACTTAATCCATTTCAATACTGTAAACAGGCTCTGCCTGTTATGTTTGTGTTTGTTTTCTTTCCTTTTATCCTCAAGAACAAAAACTCTTTAATTTAAATGATAACTTTTTGCAGAACAAAACTTGCGTCATATGTTTAGAATGTGGAGCAAACACATCTCTTCTTGGCAAGACTCTTGCAGCTTCGAATGTTTGCCCTGCTGTGTATGTCCTCCAGAAGATAGATGACTGTTAGAAGATTTACAATAAGCTACATTTAATCAGTCAACCAGTTTATTTTTGATTTAAAATTGTGAAGCAAGACAAAGGTTTATAAAGTTTCAAAGACTGTGCTAGATATTTAGACTGGGCTTGCTTGAGAAAGAGATACATTGCTCAGGGCTAACATTGCTTCCCTGTATAGCTCCTCATTGCCTTACCGCAAACACAGGCTGTGGCACTGATTTTAAATCCAAATGTAACACTCATCTCTCTGCGGCTCTGGGCAATGGGAAATCCAGCAGCTGAACAGTATGTTTTGGATACGATTCCATAACCTAATACCCCTTCTCAGCTCTTTCTGTAGCATTTCGTAATAAGGTACCCACATAGATGAACTGCATATCAGGAGTGACTTTAATTATTTCCCTTTGGATGTTGATAACTTTTGACAACATAGTGAATGTATGCCCGTGTATTCTAGAGTACATGAATCAGTCATTATAGGTTGACAACACTTTGCTAGGGAAGGGCAAGGGAACTTGCTATGACTTCCCAAATGTGCTGCGATGTTTTCATTGCCTGAATATGATAGGAGGAGGGGTGCAGCCAGAGAGTATTATTCTCCCCTATAACTCAGCATTCCCCAAGCCCAGGCTGTGATTCTGCATGTGTATTCATGTATTAGTTGCCTTATGTTATTGCATGAGGGTGAGCAGGGAGGAGAGGAAATTACTGCTGCTGGAAGTGACTTCAGGAAAGTAATTTGGTGTGATACAGCACATCAGTATAAATCACTTATAAAAACCCCTTTATTGTCCTGGTTACTCCCTTGTCATGCCTATTATTCCTTACACTAGGAGGACAGGTTCTCAGTCAATGAGATCACAAGAGTCCTATCACATTATTCCATGGAAAATGAGCCTGGGAGGTTGTGAAGAGGTGTTGGTGATCAGCATGGTATAATATAGACCGAAGGGAGTGGGGAGCACTCAGGTTCCAGTTAACTCCAGTGGGAGTTCAGACTGAGGTGAAATGATAGCTTTCCTTAAAAGGCTGAGGCTTTACACACACTATTTTTCACTCCACCTGGCAGCTCCTCCTCCTTAACTGTGATTTTAAACCCTAATGCATCATTTCATATCATACAAACCCAGGTCCCTATCCTTCAGCCTTTAGCCCAAGTCATCCTTATTCATATATGCAGCCCCATTGACTACATGAGAACCACAGGATGAATAAGGATGTTGTGCATGAGTAAGAGTTGCAGGATCTGGTTCCAAATTTCTTTCTGCCTTGTGTGGATCACTGACATTCATCCCAATTTAGAAACTCAGCTCTGACTTTTAATGTCTAAAAATGAACTTTCCCTATCCAACTTCGTACCCCCTCCCTTTCATCTCACACACGCAGAATAAATCCAAGTGCTCAGTTTTTCCATTTTCAGAGTTACTCTTCACACAGATTCCGTCCAACCCATTCAGTGCAGCGCAGAACAATGGACACTACAGTACTGAAGCTGACCTCAGCACCATGGACGTGCAGCCTCCATGGGAGAACCAGGAAGAGGCTAGATATATTTTCCTTCATTTTTTTCTAACTCAGGCATCATTTGTGGAAATGTATTAGTGCAGGCCGATCAGATCTCTCCCGTTAAGCAGGGTCAGACCAGGTCAGGCTGTAGATAGAGGCCTACTGAAAAACCAAGGATGTTGCAAGAAGTGGTGCTGATGATTCCATATGTGGTGCTATTCCTTTTTTATTGCTATGAAACCAGAGTAGAGGATACTGCAGCTGCAGGCATCATTTCTCAAACAAAATGTAAAACTGTGTCCCTGTTGATTTGTCATTATTTTATTCTGCTTTCATTTAAAAAAAAAGTATTCCAGTCTCAAAACCCCTATTACGTTAAAGAATTTGAATCTCTTTTACTTAATTTCCACTTAAGCTATAAATTGCTTGTTGTATTTTGTACATGCGGTTGGAATAGCCACATGAACCCATTTGTTTCAAATTGAATCAATTTGAACTTTGAAACCCTTTATATGTAATGCGACAGCCCAGCTTTGCACGCAAAAAGCACAATCCACGTGGCATGAAAATTAGGATCTAATTGGTTTGAAAGATGCTCAAGACATGAATAATACTTTTAAAACAACAATGTAAACTATACATACATTTGAGATTACTTGGTAGTACAGTTTAATCCAGTAGCAAGGGTTCAAAACACACGTAAAAGGACTGTTTCTAAATTGCAAACAGATATCCTTTCTTTCTGGCTCCTTGGGCTTGAGCCCACATTGTTCTTAAGATAAATGTGCATGTTTTGCTACAAATTAAAAGAGATAAACTATGTCCAATGGATCCTTTGTTGTACATAATAAAAGAAAAAGAAAAAGCTGAGATCTATGGACAGCTCAGACAAAAGGCACCTCAGAATTAACATCTTTTACTAAAGCAACTGTTAGATGACTTGCATGGGAGCTGAGTCCTATGAACACAATGTTTATATCAGGTAAGGGTACATCTTACATAGCAATACATATAAATATATAGTGCCTTTCATCCTGAAGGGCTTTACAAACACTAAAATACAAGCTACCTACAGGGATCACTTCACCCACCTCTGAAATGCAGCTGCAGTCAGGTGCAGCAGCTTTGTAACAGTGCACCACACAATAGCTTATAGCAGGAAATGAAAAGTACATTGTAACCAATTGCATTTGGTTGGGACCCTGAGTTTAACACCCTCACACCATGGGCTTTTACTGGATAGGGATAAGAACCTTGGTTTTAGGAAGAGGAATAATCTCATAGTTAAGGCATTAGAGAGTGAGCCTGGGTTCTAATACCAGCTTTGCCAAGACTCCCTGTGTGATCTTCACACAAGTCAGCATCACTGGGTGCCTCAGGCTCTCTGCCTGAAACATGGGGTAATAATACCTCCCTGCTTCACAGGGGCATTGTGAGGCCTAATTCATATAGTCTGTGAAGTTTGAGATACTCAGAGGGAACATGCTATAGAAATATAATCTACAGTATTATTGCTGTTATACCCCTAGTAGCAGAGTGCTTCTAAAACACCATACTAAGGCATTGATTCTGTACTGACTCAGAGGGACAATGCTACATACAGAACAGCTACTACCACATCTGACTGCACCTGGATTTTCCTTAGAGTTTTAGCAGCCAGGTACTTCTCAGATACAGTCAACGTTATTAGAAGGTCTGATGGCAATCTGGGTTGGTGAGTTGGCCGCTATCCATATAAGGACCATTGGTTAGGATTTTGCAGCCCAGGTCGCCTCCAGAACAAGACTCTGGTGCTTGAGAAGAATCTAATTCAGCACTGGATTATACAAACTCCTTAAGCCATTAACTGACTGGATTTGTTCTTTGACTATCAATGCTCCAACTCTTCTACCTTCCAGTTTCATCTAATGTAGGTCACTGGATACTGTGTCTTGTGTAGATATTGTAGAGGGACAATTCACCGATGGTTGTGGAATACAGATAGTAGCAATGTTCTACTAGCCCCTCATTGTTCTAGTCTAGTGGCTGAGAAAACTTTTGCCTCAGATGGATCTGGGAACCTACTAGACCCATAAGCCTCTGAAGGAGGAGCAGCGCAGTTGGTCTACCACCTTAGAAAGGAGTGCTGACTTTGACATCATTTTTAAAGGAGCTAATAGTTGACTTGGAACAGGTGTTTTGCTACAGGGTCCACACCCATGCTAAAAATGAGGACCAGTCTGTTTCCTATGTGGAAGAAACCCTTAATTGTTATGATAATGAGAGTTCCTAAGCCAGTTGTGGCTAAAAAAAAATCTGTGTGGACACTGCAGTTCTGGAAGAAAATCAGTCAGACACCAATATCTGCCTTAATAGCAATTCTGCTAACTGAATTCAGACTAACTTCCTCCCAAGGTTGAAAAGTGATTGAGAGATTTTAATTATTTCCATACATGACAAGAGTTTCAAAAGTGCCTTTTTGAGTATGTGCATTGGCATTATATACAGCTATAATGCTGCTCCTTTGATGATATTCTCCCCTCTGGATTTTCTACGTGCATCAATTCTCAGTGATGAAAGAGCATGGGTGTAGTCTATGGATACCTAACAACCATAAATACTTAAATGAGGGAATGTAGGGTAAGAGTGGGTCTTTTCCAGAAATAAGAATGAATGTTTGATTTATATATGAATGTCACAACGTTCTAGCTATTGAATAATAATGTTCCAAAAAAGAATCATACACAAAAAAGCTACATTGTAAAGAATATTATTGAAAAGATCTTCTCTTTCCCGTCCATCTGTTGTAATACATTTGTGCGGACCATGTTAGTATCGGTTTTTACTCACAGGCCGGCTGTACAAGTTTAAGAGAAACAGATCATAAGAGCCTATTTATGATGCTAGTATGTGTTTAGAGCATGTGATTGTGATATTTAAAATATGGATGTGTGACTAAAAGTACAAACTCTTTTCAGAAGAAACAACCCAGAAGGAAAAAATTATGCCACTCACCTTACCACGTGGAGGCCTACATCTCATTACAGCATGCTTATCTGCACTCCCACTTGACTCTACAGCTGTCTAGCCAGAGACCAGAATGATACATCTGGAAAAGTTGTGTGGGCTGAGGGAGTTTACATTCATTTTGCAATGTTCACAAGAAAACTAACTGTAGAAAGGTCAGCACATTTTACTTCCATCTACTTGCATTAAATAAAAGCATACCGCATGTTATTTTAACGTTCTGAAACTTGTTTCTCATTAGAAGGCATGAAGAACCCATGTCTTGAAGCATCTAGTGTTTGCTCTGGCATACACTGTTTACTGGCAGAATGCTTCAGCAGGCTTGTAGGAGTAAGTATTAGGTAACAAATGTAGAGCAAGCAACAAAGCAGGTTTGAGATGAGGAACATTAGAGCAAAGAATGGTTCCTGAACAAGTTTGTAAAGCTGTGATCCAAGAATTGGCATCTCTGCTAGTTATGAAGTACAAAAATCCTCACATTGAGCTACATCAGTATCAAACACAGCAGTTAAAAATCAATTATTTTAAAACGCTGGTTAAAGACAAAATTAAAACTTGTGTTTGCATTGCCTTACAAACAATTGCTGCAAGGCAAATTCTTCTACCTCATTAAAATACATGTAAGGAAAAAAATCACTGCAGTATATTGAACCATTGTTATGATTCAGAAATTTGTGGATTTATCATCACTGTTCAGTTAATGCCACATGGAGTACACAGCCACATTCTCTGTTTTTTTAAACCGTAGAAATAAAATTGGATGGGGAAATCTGATAACTGCTTGGACTGATGGTAGACTCCAAATCTTAATACCTTAGATTTATAACTGAGAACTGTGCAGATTTGTGTATATCAATGGGTCCACCAGGTTTTCTAGAACAGGATATTTTATCTGCTGAGTGGTTTCTGTTCGTTGCTTGGAAGAGGAAAGCTAGCTTTCCTGCCTTTTTTACACTGCCAATTGTTTTACTTAAATTTGAATGAGCTAGTACAAATAAGGAATTCTTTTCTCAACAGCTATGGAAGAAGATACTCCAGTCAAAAACTGGTTTACCACTTCAGCAAATCCTGCCTGTAAATGTCTGGCCAGTGACTTCTACTATTTCACTGGTGTAACTTTCTTTAATTTTGGCACCAAATATCTATTTGTGGAATACTATTGCTGCATAACGGAAATGGAGAATGGTTGGCATGGATGAGCAGTCAGAGCAGCAGTCACCTCCTCTTCAGTAGTTAGGCATCAACCCAGCTATTTTAGGTCCTTTGGATGAGATGTGAAATTGAAATCTGAACAACTTGTGGTCATTAATGACCTCAAGAAAATTTGAAAATAGTTGGGATGGTAATCTGAAATCCTGGCTATGCCCTAATTTAGGTAAATCAATTCTGCCAACCTAAAATCACTTGTTACAACTGAAATTATTCTTCGCTTCCCCCCTAAATCTCTGTAGTGTATGGCACCGATTGGCAGATGCATCTTATTGCTTATAACGGACTTTGGGATCTCCTGCTCGAGTAAAAGTGCTGTTATAAAAGGGAACATTATTCAGTTCATCTGGTTTTTTTTTAAATATATATTAAAAATGTAAGATCGCTTTATTTTCAACTAATACAAACATTTTAAAACAGGCAGTTTTGAGCAGCTTAGTTTGTTTCAAAGAATATAGCTTACATGTACATCTTTTGATATTCCAGGATAATACACAGTAAATGAGAAAAAGTAGTCAGTCCTTCTCCCCCCACCCCCAATAACGAAGACTAACCAAATGATTTATTAAGATAACATGCACCTTCTCATTGACTGAATAGGTAACAATTCCACTCATACAAACGTGAAAAAATAAATTTTGATTGTGAAAAGAAAATCTTATACAGATTTCAATCTTTTTTTAAGAGAATTAAAATCAGGTCACCTTGGCATTGAATGAGGTTAGTTTGAATAGGGTACTGCATAATGTGCTAAGTTATTTAAAAGGCTCAGCTTTGCAATGTTCCAATGAGGAGTGTAGGACTGTTCAAAACATCAAAATGAAGTATGAAATTTTCCAAACTTCGTTCATCTGAACTTTACAAAGTACAGAGGCAACATTAATTTGTCATTATATTAACCCCAGGAGAGTTGATGATTCCAGAGCTGGCTGGTTAGCAATAATGCTTTTTGAGGAAGAGCCTTGTTGACATACACAGTTCATAGCAATATCAGAAAGTTAATTTACACAAATTATTCACTTTCAGGTTTGGTTGGCTGAAAATTAGTCCAAACCTAATAACAAGATTAGTTATCAACATTTAAAACAGATCATATGTTTTCTAAAACTTGATTGGTTGAAATATGAGAATTCTAATTTCCATATAGCTACCAATTTTTTTTTTTTTTGGAGAGAGAGAAAAAGTAGGCTCATAGGTCACTGACAACCTGTCTCTGGATGGAGACGTGGTGCCCGTGTGTGCGCAAAATGAACAGTATACAAGGTTTTAGATTATAGATTATTGTTTAGGGGTGGGAGCCCCCAAGCCACTGGGAGTGTTGAGTGTGCATTCAGGTACATTTCAGCATTTATACAAAACTTTACAAAGGTTAACAAATGAATCACCATTAGAGCCCTATAATCTCTGTAAGCAGCAGTAAATCCATTTTATACATAGAAAAGCTAGGGCCATCTAGGAAGTAAGGGTTAGAGTTGGGATGAGAATTCAGGAGTCCCTTGTTTAGTTTTGTACTTTCTGCATTAAATCATACGGTCTCACACACTACTAGACAGACCCTTCTTTTGACCATATGCCACATTGTTTGCTTAGCTTCAGGCAGCTAGCAAAGAGAAGTTTGTGGCAGTCTTCGCTTTAGAGGACTTCCCTTGAAAGTTTTGGGTGTCTGGGGTTGCATTGTATATAACCCACGATCTTTGGGAAACACCAGTGAGATGCTCTCATTTCTAGCAATTATTTTACATCCAATGACCTTTTAAAGGTTTTCTATAGGCTAGAAGCATATCTCCTCCCCCCCCCCCGATGAAAGCTGAGATTAGCCGTATTTCCAGTCCCTCCCCCCGCTCCCCCCCCAAATTAGGTGTTCTGGGGAACAGGATTGCCAGCACTAGCTTTACATGCTCCAAAGGCTGTTTCTATTCACATTTAATATAGAATTCAAATATATCATCAATATCCCACTGCATTTCAGAACTTAAGACAATTTGAATCACTTGTGTTCAGAATGTTGCAGAAGATTTTGTATCACTCTTCCCACCACAGTCTCTAGTATTACCCATTATTACACCAAATAGGGCTCAATACCCAGGGAGGACTAGAATACAGACCACTCTCTCTAGCTGTGTTGGCTCTGCAATACTAATAGGGGTATATAGTTGAAGAGGCTGTTTTAATCACAGAAATGAGAATACATAACTGAACACACAGGGAACACTTCTAATGAAGATGACGCTATTTTACAGAGCTACTTTCTGACCAGAACAGTACTTAAAGTTATGGATCTGTTATATGAGCAAGAACCTCACTCCTAAATAATGGCGGTACATGAACTGTGTGCAAGTTCTTCCAACCATTTCCTTTGATCTATGAGCACTGCATTGAGCTTATTCAGGATAACATTCAGCCAAATGTCTCTCATTCAAACATAACTGCCTGATACTTGGGAGACATTTCATAAAGGGTCACCCATGGAGGGGACACAGAGCAGAGAGTCTCAGACCATACTTCTTTACAATATGCTCTAGCTGCCTCACTTGCATACTGAACTGGAATGTGATGATTCCTTGATTTAGAATCAATTTGTACATGAATCCACTCTCATTCAAAGGGCTTGAATTTGTGTATTCTTGATTGCCTTCAAAATATGATTATCAGATAATATATTCAAATGTATTAACCACCTGCCAAATTTACACCTATTTGGACAAATAGTCAAATTAAAAAGTAGCTCAATATGTCAGGTTTGAAGACATGCGACCATTGGAAATTTTTCCTTTTCCATATCTTAAAGCCAGAGGATATGGGGTTTGTCGTTTCCTTAGACTGTAGATGTTACATGTAATTCAGAATCGTGGTCTGTTTTTCTCAAGCATCTTACCCTGTTGTGCTGAAGTCAAGTATCCACAGCAGGTGCCCTGTGTTCCCTTTGCTGATCGACTTATCCACTTAGTGCTTTTTCTATGCAAAGGGCAAGGAGCATGCTACTAATGTCTCAAGCAGATCCTCCCCCACAAAAGAAAATAAACTTTCAGACTATTTTTGGGTATAGCTGTTGATGCCCTCTCCTCCTGTTCTGACCCAGCTGGGCCTCTTTCTTCAGCCGATCCCTTTCAGCAGTCTTTTCAGTAGGATCTGTAGTGGTGGTTGATCTCTCCAAGGCCTGCATTTCTGCACTGAGGACCTCAGCCCAGCAAGTCTAATAGAAGCTCCTTGTGCTCTTATCTCCCATAGCCCTATTCTTGGGTCAGTAATAGCTCATTTTGATTGAAAGGTGGACTTTAATGTCTCTTGGAGTTCCCGCCACCACCTGTCCCCTCCTCCCATATCAAGGATGCCATTTTAGGCAGGAGTGTTACTTACTCTATAGCCATCCCATGATAAGCAGTTATATTGAGGCTTGTTCCTAGTCCTCTCCTCTCAGGGATGGAGCAGATAGCATGGACATCTATTAATTTTCTGCTGGTTAATTTTGTTGGAGGGAGTTGGGTGGTATCTCTACTGTTCCCAGTTAAGCAGTCCTTTGGGAGAGGGACAAATGAATGAATAAAAAATAAATCTAATCTTATCCAGGCATATTTGGAGCTGTCTAGCCACCTTCTCCTTTAGGAATCCTCCCCCTCGGATGATTACAGAGAAGAAATAGTATGTGAAGGTGTTACTATTGAGAGTATTTTTATAAAAGGAAGAGCCATACTTCTGAACATTCAAGTATGGACAGGAATTGAAGGTAAAGAAAGTAACTGAAAATACCTATCATCAATGGACTTAGCTTTAAGTAGCCAGGTAAAATATGAGATCATTCCCAAAAATCATCTGGTTGAACCTACGTAGCACCACCACCACCTGGATCTCAGAAAATAAAAGGCCAGTCTCAAATGAGGCAGAGTTTTTCTTTTGTTCTGGTTGATTTGACTGACATGAAAAGGTAAAAGCAACACAGTGACTGCTG